GGACTATGAGTAGGGGATTTCAGCTCTTCATTCATGTGAGTCTTCTGACTATATTGTAGGACACTAGGTGTCGATTGTGTATGTTGTCTTTGTAACTCTTGTTGATATGCTTGTATGTTGTATGAATGGAACCGATATGAGCTCGAAGTCAATATGGATTCGGGGTTGATACGGACCCAGAGGTTGTTACGGACCCGATATAGTTATGTGTTGTTATGTATGTTGTATGTAGTATTTTGAGAAACTCCCTAAAATTATTGCTTACACTTGTTGTGGTGGAGAAGATGAACACTCATTGATAGAAGTTAGAAAGAGAAGAGGGAAAGCACGGATAAGAATGGAAGGTATCTAATTTGGCACTGTTATCAATTGATTTCATAAAGCGTTACATCACTTCATATATACACAAATACATTGGGCTATACAAGGCTAATCACAATGGGCTATACACTAACATTTCTTTTAAATTTATAATGAATTTTCATACAATATAAACAAAAAATAAATATTGGCTCTAGTTATACAAACATATAAACTATCATTCTATCCGTACGTGTAACCATCTACGGGCTATTGTCTTACGCCCTTAAACCTTGTATACAAGCTAAAATTAGCTCCATATCCAAAAATGGAATTCTATGTTAAAAATGCCTTCAAAAAATGTAATTCTTTTTATCAACCAACTCGCATATCCCAGGCTTAGCTTCAAGCTAATAATTCTTCCCTAGTTCGACTTTTTTCGCCAATTTACACGTGTTGTACAGAATCGAATCCAATATTCCAGCAACCTAAAATCATCACACAAAGAAAGTAAACAAGTTAATGGTAAAATATCGATACAAATAACTTCCCAGATTAAAAATATATATATATGTAATACTTTTTACAGTTCACATTTACCGTGAAGACACCACCGATAATGGCACACAAGTTGGTGATGAAATGAGAGAATGACTTGGAGTTTTCGGTTATCAAAACCTGGTGACAGATTTAAGGGAAGTAAAAAATAATAATAATAATAAAAATAAAGTAGGAATATTTGTTGATGATATTAAAATACGTGAAATGCATGCATGGGATTTGAATTTTAAACCTGCATTGGTGAAAACTGAAGATGAAACTTTGCTGCAGGGATTGAAGGAGCGTGTATCAAGCTTGTATGTGCAGTGTACTCGTAATTCTCAATTAATTGATGTGATAATCCCATCACCTCCGTTTTCACCACTTGAAGATAATGCTCTATCTACAAACACAAAAGGGATTTTCTTTTAATTAAAAGAAAAGGAAAAAAAGATAAATAAAAGTATATTGTTGATTGCTTTGGTTTGTTCCATCCTTCTTCCACGTGTCACTATTTGTATAAATCATATTTTGTCTTTCAATTTGGCTGATTTTTGTAACTTTCGTCACGAATATTTTGTAATTTTGATCATCATTTGATGTTCTTGTAACTTTTTTTTTTTATTTCATGTTTCAAGTAAACTACAATTTTTAGCGTCAAGTGTAGCTGACTTCTTTTTTGTCCCAAAAATAGTTATTTACATGGGATAGAGACCAAAATCGCATGAGAAAAAATTTTGGGATGAAAATTTGTACACAAATTAAAAAAATGTAACGAAAGACCAAAATTGCAATTCAATCTTTAGTCTTCAAAAATCTTAGTATAATTTGACTTTATTTTCACTCACAAAAAAAAAACAAAATACGTCAAAATTCGTAAAAAAACATTTCTCTACAAATAAAGGATGTATTTGCATATGCTTTCTTATAATCTTATAAATAAGAAATAATAAAAGTTTATTTGTTGTGTAACGACGTTTTTTTTTCTATATTTTCTTAATCTTAAAAATAACAAAACTTGATCATAAATATAAAGATTTTAATGAAAGGTTGGATTGGTTTATATTACTAATAAACGGACAAAAATTAGAATACTTGGGTCATGTGTGGAACGAAAAAAAAAAGTACACTTTTAATAAAATATTAAGTTGATTTCAATTATGTTGATTAGTCTTAAGGAGAGAGGAGAGACCACACCAATATATATATATATATATATATATATATATATATAATTATATATATATATATATATATATATATATATATATATATATATATATATTAATTATATATATATATATATCCAGACAGAAAAGACTCTTTCTACCACATGACAGTTATACCGTGTTCTTTCCAAAAAACTCTTAACGATAAATAAGATATTAGACTACAACATATATATACAGACAGACAGTGACTGTGACTGTGTTTGTAACTGTGTCTAGCTGATTTGGAACACCAACTTACAGTAACATTTGCACGATCTTCTAGCTTGGTGACGTACGCGTGGCCATTCAACCTATTGTGAACTTCATCAAGATAAGGTGCTAATCTTTTCATATCACTCATCATTATAGGAGTAATTGTCGAACCAAAAGAAAATTTTGAAATCATATGTGACATGTTCATTAGTGACGCATCAAATGAATGGGCTGCTGAACTTGCTGAGATTATAAGATTTCCCGGAACCTAATTAATAGCACGTGACAAAAACAAAAAAAAAAAAAAAAATTACTAACAAAAGAAAATATTTTATATTTTTATTTTTTTTAAATTGTTTAATTACCTTTTTGACACGTACGAAACCTTCAATCCTACAACCTTCTTGAGGTGGCGCGGGTCTAACTTGTATATATTCTGTAGTTGCGGCTGAAGAACGTTTTACGGAATTTAATTTAATAGCTGAAGCCATGTTATCGAATTTCTGCATAGAAATAGAATCGATCAAAGTTGGATTAATAAATCATATGAAATTATCAAAAGGGTGTTTTAGTAATTTTGACAAGAAGAAATTTTTTTAATTTTTTTTTCTTACAAGTATCAAAGTATCTGTATCTCTATCTCCATAATATGTTTCATGAATGTGTACTCCATGAGATCCATCTCTAATTCAAAAAAACATTATTAGCCAACATAAAAACAAAAAACGTTACAAAAAAAAATAGCATCAAGAAATTAAAATAACTAACCTAATATCACTCCCTTTACGATATATACGAATAGATGGATACCCTTGTATATGATGCCTAAAAACCATTAAAAAGTGAATAATTTTTTTTTTAAATAACCCATTTTTGGGTATGTTAAATAAGATGACTTTTTTTTTTTTTTTTTTTTTTTACTTTTTTTAAAACATACTTTTTACACATATCAGCTTCTGCAGTGCAATCAACACTTCCGATAATAATACGCCCATCAAATTCTGGATGATATCTGGTTAATGTAATCGCGAGTCAGGATCTAATAAAGAAAAGTACATGTCAAATTTATAAACTAGATTTTTTTTTTTTTTTTTTTTTAAGTTTATAGAGTTTTTAAAAAAAAAAAAGTGAATGTAACCTTTGTCTCATAACTTTTGCTGTTTTCTCCCATGCGGGTTTCTGAGATACATAAATAAGCATAAGTTCATATTTATTGTAGGAGAGATCTTACAAGCATAAGTTCAAATTACAAAATTATTTTTAAGAAAAAAAAAAACAAAGGTATTTCGTCAAAATATTAAAAGGAAACACTAATAAGATGAATATAATCATATAATACCAAAAGGTTACTCCAATGGCACCAAGGAGCAAAAAAATTCACAACCACAATTGGATGACTGCAATCGCCCAAAACATAAATAATTAAACACCATATAATATAATCATTCACTAAATTATTATTTTTTTAAAAAAATTAATTTTTTTTACTTACTCATGAGTGACTTTATCAAAATTACGTGAATTTAATGGAATAGATCCATCGCCATATCCCTCTTCAACCTTATGATCATGCTTAAGAGCATAAGAAATGGGCCCCGTATCATACTCAAAGCCTGAAGGATGATAATTTTGATTGATTGAATATTTTCGAATTGTTTTTGTTATATTTAATCTGTTCTGCAGATATTAGGAAAACATAATAATTAAATATATACCTTTAAAACACACTATTTATTTATCAAATACAAAACATAGGGCTAATCACAAAAACTTAATATCAAATATCGATCACTTTTTTCAAATTTTATTCGTGAAACGCGTTTTTTTTGTGAAATTAGCCCTAAAAAAATATCGATCAAGAAATTAAATTAAGATGATTAAAACTCACTGTTCCCAAAACATCGCTCACATCCACGGATGCAAATTCGCATGATAAAACTGGGAAACTGCACGAATTTTTTTAACAAATTAGCCACAAAATCACATAAAATGTCATTAATGAACAAAAACGAAGTGATTATCGGCATAATTGTTATGATTTATGAAGCATACCTTATGTTAAAATCAATGCGTAAGGATTCCTCAATGGAACTTTTGTCAACTACAATAGAAGTTGAAGTACTAATTGTCAAAAAATTATGTATCTCCTGCGATTAGAAAAATTAAAAACGAAAGAACGTGAATTCGCATTTCAATTAAAGATCAAACAGAAAATAAGTTTTGATAATTGGAAAAAGAGGGAGACTTTTTTACCATTCCAAACAAAAAAAACATGGAAATAGCTGCTACAACGGAAATTCCAGCACCTGATAACGATGCTTCTGTCAAATCTCTTGGAGTTTTTCTGGGAGAAAAAAAAATGGTGGAATGATTACGAAAAGCACAAATTCTTTTCTAGGTGCTTTCATCTGGGAATAATTAACGTGGAGAGCGTTTCCGTGAAACGATAATCAAATTCCTATGAGGATGAATGGAAACGTACCTGAAAAAATCGAAAGATTTGAACTTTGCTACAGAAACCATGGTTGGAAGATGGATCTGGGAGCTATAATCTACGAGATTGAATCGAATTTAGGGGTTTTCTGTTGCCCAATCAGTAACCCCTTTGTTCCTTGAATGATTTGGGCTTCGTTTATTGAGTCGACAAGGGAAAGAAAAACAAAAAATCCTACTGCTATTCGGATTTCAATGCTGCATTCTTGTGGGTTGTGCTTTGTAAGTAAATATAACAATTCATTTGATTCCGCCTGAAATTGAGGGGTGTTCATTGAAATAGTTTGAGCGAAAAACTGAGGCTGATATTGGATTTTATTTTTATCAATTCCTATATATGGGGGAGGGATTCCATCTGAGCTTTTTGGGTGGTTATTATTGAGCTTAATCGATAAATTTCTATGAGTAAGGTGTTTGAAGTTTGAACAAGAAATCGGATTCAACGAAAAGGAAATTTATCTTTTTCTTCTTTCACTTCAGAAGAGAGTTTTTCTTGAATCATGAACTTAAAAGAATGATTTTCTGAATGAAGAGGTATCAAATTGCAAGTTTAATGAATATCAAGTCAGGATGGCCGAGTGGTCTAAGGCGCCAGACTCAAGTTCTGGTCTTCGAGAGAGGGCGTGGGTTCAAATCCCACTTCTGACATTTAATGTTTTTTTTTTTTGAAAGAAGTTTTATAGTATGATTTTGTAGTGGTGTTTTTAAAAACAATAAAAATGAGTTTTTGTTGGGTTTTTTTTTTTAAACCAAAATACAAGTTTTTGCCCAGACCTATAATGGTGTGCCTAATTTAGATTATGTGATCAACACATTAAATACATTAACATTATTTTGGCTTAAAATATGATAATACATATTATGTTTTGTCTGAATTGGATTATCTACAAAGAAATTCAAAATGCTAAAATAAGAATACAACTATATTACAATAAAAATCATAAAAAATATTAGTTTTTGTTTGATTTATATTATCTCGATTAAAAGAGAAAATAGAACAAAATTACAATGGTAAATACTTCTTTTTGTTTGATTTATATTATCTCAATCATAATAGAAAATACAACAAAATTATAATAATAAGTATTGAATCAAGATATGGTTTAAAACAAAACTAGGTTTTGATCTGTCCGCGCGTTGCGGCGGGATGACCAAATGACTTTCAATAATTGCAAGAGATGTGAATATAGCATAAACATCATATTTTAAACATATCATAGTGGTTATGTGATACAGAAGTTGGTTGACATATTTTAACGGTAAGATGATGACTGTAGCTACAGAAATATTTGAGGATGTCATCCAAAAGGATGGATCATTAGTTAGCGTTGCAGTCGATCTGTAGTTCAACTAAATTGATCATATAATAGTTGTGTGGTACGCCTATTTGAGAGATAATCAGCGGTGGCAGTATCTTTGAGTCTATGTATCCATTCTTTACAACCATGTCTTCGCAGTTTATGTTCAACATTTCAGTCACAACCTCATTGAAGAATATGACATCAGCGGTTCCTGTTGCGTCGATGATGGATGCATTTATGCAGTACCTATATTGATCATATAATAGTTGTTATAGTATATCATGTTATTATATGTATGCATTTTTATAGGTTGATACTTACTTGAACTTTGGTTGTATGTCCTCATGGTCTTCACATACAAAATATGTTGAGGTGTCATCCTCTTGGTACAACTTCTTTGGGCATTTTGAGCAATGGACATAATACCATGTTCGGTGTGCATACACCTCTTTGATTTGAGCCGTGCACATGACATTAGGTTGCTGCTATTTGAGAGAAGTTATGTAACAAATGCATTGTAGAACATGTAATGGTGTGGTAAAACTTCAGATGTTTACCGTTTTGTTGTCTGAAATTTTTGTAAGAAGCTCGTGAATTGTGACTTTGTTGCCACTTGGGTCCAATTCTTTCAACCTTAATATAAGGTGATTCTAAGATGATGATTTTTAGTGTATGATTATTCAAGAGTGGTACCTGTTAACATGTTCTATAGTTTGTGGGAATGTTGGGTTGATGAAAACACTATTTAGAAGTGGTTACTTTACTTTAATATTTTTAGATGTACATACCCATGTACTCGGTGGCTGCTGTAGCTGTGATCGCAATGATATCTCCAGTTTTTATATTGTCAGCTAGCAGACGTGTTGTTTGTAACACCCCCCTCTGGCACGTATCACAATATTGTCCGCTTTGGGCCACTCGGCACGAGGACTTCCCAGGGGGTCACCCATCCCGGTACTACTCCCGCCCGAGCACGCTTAACTGCAGAGTTCTTATGGGATCTGATGCCCTCACGGCTTTAAAACGCGTTGTGATAGGGAAGGTATCCACACCCCTTATATGGAATGCTTAGTTCTCCTTTCTAGTCGATGTGGGATCAGATCTAACCCACTTTCACCCCCCATTATAGGGTTCGACGTCCCCGTCGAACACATCGACCCGTGCCCTAGCTCTGATACCATTTGTAACACCCCCCTCTGGCACGTATCACAATATTGTCCGCTTTGGGCCACTCGGCACGAGGACTTCCCAGGGGGTCACCCATCCCGGTACTACTCCCGCCTGAGCACGCTTAACTGCAGAGTTCTTATGGGATCTGTTGCCCTCACGGCTTTAAAACGCGTTGTGACAAGGAAGGTATCCACACCCCTTTATAAGGAAATGTTTCGTTCTCCTTCCAAGCCGATGTGGGATCAGATCTAACCCACTTTCACCCCCCATTATAGGGTTCGACGTCCCTGTCGAACACATGGACCCGTGCCCTAGCTCTGATACCATTTAAAGCGTTGGGTGTTGTTGCTCTTGATAAGGCTACATATAGTTGGCCGTGACTGAATACAGGTTGTGGTAAGTAAATGCTGATTTTGTCAAGTGATTGACCCTGACTTTTGTTTATTGTCATTGTGTAGCATAACTTTACTGGGAATTGTTTTCTCTTGAAGTCAAATGGTAATTGTTTGTCTTTGTAAGTTAATGTTATTTTTGGTAGAAAAACTCTACGGCCGATAAATTTGCCGGTCATTATTTCTGCCTCAATAATTCTTGGTAGTAGTTGTGTGACTATCAATCTTGTTCCGTTACAAAACCCCTCCATTGGGTTAAGATTTCTTAGTAGTATAATAGGTGCATTGACTTTAAGTTGCAGAGAATGTGTAGGAAATCCATTAAAGTTTAGGAGGTTCAGGTATTCAGTTGGATAGAGAACCTCAGTGTCGCCGCCGTGTTTCCCTAGATGAGGAACGATAGAGTCGACACTGGTGTAGGTGGTAGTTGTTCCATCATTCATGTTAATAATGAGTGAGTTAAGTTCGTCTACTGTATCGTTTTTAGGGCATACGATTGCTTTTGTTGACAATGTTTCTGCTGTTGGGTTTTGTAAAGTGTCATTGTCGTATATGAATTGGATAAGTTTTGTTAATGCATACTCATTGGGAGGTATAAGGTATTGGTTGGGAATTTGTATTTTTTTGGTATTTTGTGGGTCTATTGTGTCGGGTGTTCCTTCTTTCCCATTGCCGACATCAAGTAGCCACGATGAGAATGTTGAAATCATCTGTTGGTCTTGTGGATTAAGATTTGGCCTTTGAAGACGCATGTTTTCGTTCAATTTGTAAAGCTTGAAATATTTCCATAGATAAGATCTTGGTAATGAAGATGCTAGGATTGTTGACTTTGAAGATTTAGGTATTACTGGAAGTGTCTGCCTGAAGTCGCCACCTAGTAAAATTGATTTTCCACCGAAAGGTTGATGTATATTATCGAATAAGTCTTTCATTGATCTGTCTAATGACTCGAAACATTTGCGATCATTCATTGGTGCCTCGTCCCAAATAACAATAGATGTTTCAGCCAGTAGTTGAGCAAGATGAGTTTTTTTGTTTATGTTGCAGGTGGTATTATTTGTTATATCTATTGGGATTTTAAATCGGGAATGAGCTGTACGACCTGAAGGAAGAAGTAGAGATGCAATACCAGATGCTGCAACCGCCAACACAATATTGCCTCTGGAACGTAAGCCTGAAATGATTGTTGTCCATAAGAATGTTTTTCTTGTTCCTCCATGTCCGTATACAAATGCTAACACTTGTTGGTTTGAAGATATAGTAGACATGACGTGTTCATAGATGATTTGTTGTTGACAATTGAGGCGTGAGCGACAGAACTCATGCTCGGATGCCAACAAATGTCTATCATAATTTTTCTCCTCCATAAGCAATCTATTATGTAGTCGTTGAAGTAAATCAGAATTTGGTAATGGTAAGCCGTATTCTGATAAGGAGGAAGGAGAAGATCCTGAGCGAAGTAGCAACTCTAGCTCATACAGCACAAATTGTCTCAGTTCATCATCATTTGTTATACCAAAGTTTCGTTGTCCATCATCCGCCATTTTGTGTCATTGTTGATTCCATAGTAGTATAGGATTTGATATTTCACAATACAAAAGCATATGTGTGAAAAATGATCGTAACTCTGAGGTAGTAGCCCAATTTGAGGCTTCTTCAAACGTAAATGTCCACTCTTTGTCATCACCTAGTAATCCTAATTTTTCACATGCACCAGGAAATGTTTGACACAGTTCACCATTCACTGTTCGTATACAGTCATAAGATCTACAACCCTTTTGATGAGCTAAGAGCATACGTAGAAAAAAGGTTTCTCCGGAACGGGGATGTATGTATATAAGCCTTCCTATTGCAGGAGTTTTCTTTGATGATCGTCTTATCCAACATTTATTTGCTGCATGCCATCTATATTTAGTAAGATAATCAACGTAGGTAAGATCTCGACCTCTGCTGTCGTGGTTATTATTGTATAACCATTCTGTAAGAGTAGTGCGATTGTTGTACGTATTTTGAATTATGTTTTGTAGTTGAGCATTATCTCTAAAACTGATATTTTGCTTGTTTTCTAGATGAACAGCAAGCACCTGCACAGCTGGGTTTCTATCATGGATAACAAAATTAAAAATTCTCCATGCGGCCTCATGTGAGCATATAAATCTACCATCAAGGAAGTTTTACATTTGCAGGAATCGTGGTTTCTTGTTAGGTGGTGGGCATAGACTACCAAGCCAGTGATGAATCTGGCCTGCAATCTTGAAGACAAATGGGGCCAACACCATTGTTTATTGTGTCATCTACCTTCCCACCTAAAGAGGTCATAGAGAACATAGAATTGTAGGCTCGAATGTTTAACATGAATTCAGGTTGTTGGAATAGATGTACAATTGCTGCAGGAAGCTGTGTGTGAAACAGGATAGCCACACGACCTCCTTTGCAACATTGCATGTACTTTGGACGTTGATTATTAGAAGCAACAATTGCACGCTCGTCATACCAAAAGCAAGCACCACAAAATTTGCAGATGTTGTTGCAGTCACCATTATCTATGTAAGAAGAAGCATTAACAGATGAAGCACGAAGCAAAGTAGAGCGATAAGTAGCTTATGTTGATGATTGACAGTTATGATTCCTCTCAGATGAAGTACGAAGCATGGTAGAGCGATAAGCAGACTGAGATGATGATTGATAGTTACGATTCTGATTTGATGTTGAAGGACCATTCGATGGGTCACTAGAATCAAACCG